TGTGTGTGTGTGTGTGTATCATTTTTCCTTTTGGTACTTTAACCCTCTTTTAAAACACATTTTTTTCTCCCTTTCTTTATGTTTGTCAGTTCCCCATGTCATGTCTATTTAACACAGATTTGAAGCTGATTTCTTTGTATGTCCTTGAACGCAGCATTAGTGGTTACCTCATTGTGTATGAAAAGGCGAACGTAAGGCAGACATTAAAACTAAGATCCATCCTTGTTATTTTGCCCCAATATCCTGACAACTGAAGGAGGAAGACAAACCATGCTTGTAGGCCCCGCCCCTTAAAAATCAAAAATTTCAATGAGCTCAGAGGGGAACAACATCAAATGTCTGATTCATGTCTCATACCTGTGCACCGTGTATTATATTAAGTTTCTGTAATAATGACTCTTCAATCCTTCCAGGTCTCTGAGCTGGTTGTTAAGTACGACAGAGAGCATCTGACTGTCTGGGGCAACGCCAGCAACCAGGTTGTAAAGAAGTGTTACAAAGAGGTACGTTTACATGGAATTTAAAGCTCTGTTTATCTTCTGTCCTGTCCAAACATCATCACTTATCACCAGTAATGAGTGAAATGAAGGGAACTGACCATAAATTCAGGTTGTATGTTTGTGTTTTGTAGAACCCTCGTATTCCCGTGTTGTTCAGCCTTCCCAGAGTATTGCAGCTGTTAGGCCTCTTCTACACCGGCCTCCTGCCCTTCGTTCCCCTCAAAGAGCAGTTCCTGGAGATCCCCATGCCCTCAATTATTACCAAGTAGGTATACACACATACACATACACATAAAAATAAAAATAGGATCAAATAAAAAAAGAGATGCACTAGTAGAGGAGAGATTAGGGTCAGCGGCATGCATCAACCCTCAGTAACACTGTACAGACACAGGTCCTCTACAGTTCTAGTCTGTCAGTAAGATACAACACAACATTAGTAACACTACACTCCCCCACTGGTGATCAGTATGCAGGTACACAGCATTTTAAAGCAAGGTCGGTAGGTTGAGGTCTGTTTCACAAGGGTAGGAAATTCTTCCACCTTTACTGAGACTCAAGTCCCAAAACAGGACTCAAGCTGATTCCAAGGTGATCTCTATATAACTATAACACAAACTCTAAAACATTGACATGGACAAAGCTATTATTTCATTGACAGTGTGGGCCAAAGTGCTGTGAGCAGCTGTGACTTGTTTAAAATCTCACCTAAAAAGGTTAAATTGATATTAGAAACACTTTTTAACTGCTGCTTATAAAACTAACAGGAGAAAATTGTTCTCTTAATACCACATTTTGATCTCCATGGAACAATTTGTGGAATAAAGCTTAAAAAAGAGTTTGACCAAAAGGTTTACTGGGAAGTTTCCTGACCTTTCAGCCACATCTTGTGGCCTTCATCAGCAGACAGACACAATGTCACATCAACCACCAGACCTATGAGCTAACTCTATCTGGTTTCAGTCAGGAGATGTGGCTGAAAGCTCTTAGAAAAAGTGGACCTTGAGCTTAGTATTTTATTTCCTCCTCAACTTTGGCTCGATTTTGATTTATAGTGGATTTTCAAAGGTTAGGCATACAATTTTACTTTGTTTTCTTTAAATAAATGTACTTTTAATATTTTATTCAGGTTGTAGTTTCCTTCGGGTGTACTCACTATGTTCACTGGTCGACCCGTTGCAGCGTGTCCTCTCTGCGTCACAATATTGATGTTTGAAAAATGATCTCACTCGCTAATTAAGGCATTAAAAGAAACATTCACGACCCTCGTCTGGAGGGAGTGTGTTAGTGGATTGTAAGGATCAAGGTCATAGAGCAGATTATACATGCCGAGCATTCATTAAGGATTTACAGCAGTTACAAGTTCGCCCCTCAAACACATTCATGTATCATCAATCTGTTGTGTTTAATGTGCTCAACAAGTTATTACGTGATGAAGCCTTTTCAGGTTGTTGTTGTGTACATTATTCTGAGCCAGTTTCAATTACGACCACTTTAGTTAATGATTTTCTTAATTTCCTAGAATGAATCTGAGCAGAATGTGTTCGACCAGAGTAAATGTAGCTCCTTTAACCTGTAATCATACAGTGAAACACTATTGATTGATACAAACTTTTTGTAGTGGAGAAGATGCTTTAATGTGAACACACTGATTGTTTCACACTTTAACTTTCACTTTTTGTCCTGTGATTTTGCAGACTTAAGGATCCTAACAATTTAACTAGGAGTCAGCAATTCATCGCCTGGCTGGCAGACACGTAGGTCTTCAATGAATTGTGTTTAATATGAGGCTGAATCTGTGTGTGTGTGTTTCTAAATCCCTATTTTAAACTTGTATACCTGTATAGCTGGGCTTTTTCATTACCTAAACATGTATTTTTTGAGTACTTTAATATATTTGTGTTTTTGTTAAACAGTGACACTGGGAATAATTTTCATCACAAACTAATACACACATACATTGTCTAACTAAACTTCTCTCTGGGTGTACTTAATGTATTTATTTTTTTCTTGCAGTTTGCTGATGAGGAAAGCTCTGTTTGATCATCTAACTGCCAGGGGAATACAGGTAAAGCTGCTATATGTACCTGCTATAGTAGAGCTCACAGACAAGAGAAAACTCTATATATGGAGGATTTAATACCAAGTGAATGCCAATTGGTAAATGCACGTAGTGCAGGAGTAATAATAGCCAGTGTTTCTTACATTTTTACTCTTTCTCAGACCTCCAAACCTGTTAGCTTTTATTATCAGGGCCTTTTTTATATAACACTCAGTGTGTACAGTGTTGACCTGTACAGTTGAGAGCAACTAGGGTTGTATACAGAATTGTGTCAAGGTTTAGTCACATCTGTTTTATCTTTACTTCCAAGAATGACTGAAACTCTTTCCGTAGTATAAAATATCAATGGTAAGGCTGTCTGGTGCTGACACTGTTTGTTGTGGTCCCAGTGTTGTGCTGTAGTTAAGAGCACTTACTGGGAAATGTCCAATGTTCCTACAAGTTCAAAAATAGGCTAGAGTGGCTGCTAACGCTAAAACAGAAGCATTCTTGAGCCTTGTGTGACGCCCTGCGCTGTGTGATGTGTGTGCATCTGGTTTCAGGTTTACGTTTGGGTGCTAAATGACGAGGAGGACTTCCAGAGGGCATTTGATTTGGGAGCCACGGGAGTTATGACAGATTTTCCCACCAGGCTTAAAGACTTCATGGACAGGAATGGCATTTCTAAGCCTCAGTGACCTGCCAAAATCTACCTCAGCCACCCCACACTAGTAAATTATCCTGACTGACCTGCCAAACTATCCCCCCCACCCCACACGCACTCACTCTAATGGATTCCAGCAGGGCTACTCTCACACTGTGTTTTACAGTCGGTAGGGATCTCCGTGACGTTCTGCATCCTGCGCTGGTTTCAGTTATACTGATAACGTCTGTATAGTAATGTTAAAGGACACATATATACACAGATCAGCCATAACAGTATGAGCAGCTGGGCACCCTGGTGGACATAATGTTCTGCAGCACCATACCAACAAACTGTGATACACTGTGTGTTCTGACCCCTTTCTATCAGAACCAGCATTAACTGTTTCAGCAGTTTGAGCTACAGTAGCTCGTCTGTTGGATCGGACCACACGGGCCAGCCTTCACACATGGGCCAACGTTCGCTCCCATGTGCAATCAGTGAGCCTTGGCCGGCCCATGGACCCTGTCTCCGGTTCACTGCTTTTCCTTCCTTGGACCATTTTTGAATACAGGTACTGACCACTGCAGACCCCAACACGCCACAAGAGCTGCAGTTTTGAGGGATGTTCTGACCCAGTCATCTAGACATCACAATGTGGGCCCGTTGTCAAAGTCGCTTAAATCCTCACGCTGCCTATTTTTACTGCTTTTAACACATCAACTTAGGACAAAATGTGTTACCTGCTGACAGGTGCATGACTTCACCTTTCAGTGGTCATAGTTATTAGCTTGATCGGGTGTATATACTGAGTTGTGCTCTTTGCAAGGTCTTTGTTCTCCTCGCTGCACACCACGTACACAAGCAATAGTGTTTCTGATTTCTATCAGTATTGCAAAGCTATTTAAATGAACACAGTCTCATAGTTATAAAATGGGACAAAATGGCCATTGACATATAGTGTTTGCAAGTATTATCAGTCTTAAGTTCCAGAATAGATTCATGGCTTTTGGCTTGTAAATATATTATATGTATACAAAGTTCACTGCCACTAGGTGTCGCACTAGAGAACTAGAATCTCAGACCAAAACAAATGGGCGTTACAGCCCACCAGACTCCATTGACAAAACTAGTGATTTTACCTTGAAGATAATCTTAAAAAACAAAAACAAAATAAAACTAACTAAAATCATTTTTGTTAGTTTTACAACAATCACCAATTGTGGTTTGATCAAAAGAAACCCTTAATTCTCAGAGTTAGATGTTTTCACCCAACAGTCTGCAGTGGACCCCTCAAACGTCCACTTAAAGTACTTGTTTTCACCACCGACAGGATCAGATTGTTATGAGTATCTCTACAGAGATAAGAGACCAGTCAAATCCTTTTTGTTTAATCAGAAACACCTCCTGCTCGCCACCCGGCTTCATTGACAAAAACAGTAATTTTACCTTGCAGGTCATCATTCAAAGTGAAACAAGATAAAACTCACCAAAACCATCTTTGTTTTCTCTGGTTTGGTCAAAATAAATCCTTAATTCACCAAGGTAGATTAGAAAAAACCCAGCCGTTTCAGTTGCTCTACTTAAAGCCAACAGTTGCACACGGAGGGACGCGCGTACACTAACAAGTGCAGCTTCAAGACACCGTTCCTCCTCTGGATCTTTACATAGCAAATAGGTGTTCACCACTATTTTAATGTCATAGAACATGCAGATATAAACCTTCGGGTTTTACTGATCTAAAGACATTTTTAAACCTTACACCTTTAAGTAAATAATAGTTTGCAGTATAACTGAGTCCTGGTTAAAGTATGGTAGCAGTAAAAACACCAGCAGATGCAGCCTTTCAGCTTTAAAACATTTTGAGGTCCGATTTCTTTTTTTTTTTGTACAATCTGACTGTTTCTCAGCAGATGCAATAATATACTAATGTAGTTGTGAGATATGTTTGTTTGTGTCTGATGCAGCCAAATATTAGTCATAAATAACAGAGTGCACAACAACACAAAGTCCTCGGCTGCATTAAGATTTAGTGTGAAAAGAAGTGTGGGTACTGAGGTAGGTAACCACCATATTTACAACTCAACGGCACATTCAGTTCAACTGCGGACTGTTGACACTGTTCTTTTGATATGTTGCTTCTGAAAGACAATGGTTGTGTGTTGTATAGCTGTGTAGCTGTATGTTTATGTGTAGTTGCGTAGTCCCTTGATTTTCCTCTGAATCAATGACTAGAATGACTGTGGCATTAATTTTTCATTAATGAATCTGAGAGTGAAATTTTGCACAAAATAAGAAACTTGTCGTTTTAATGAGTCCTACCTGTTTTCACCTGTGTTGATGTGATCGTGAACAGCATTGAACTCCACGTTCAAGAAAAATGAACTTGTTTTTGTAAAATGTGGACTTTAAAGTGTTTTGGCAATACAGAAGAAGCACTGATAAATGTGGATTGATCGCTTCATTGCAGTGACTTGAAATTTAAATGTATTAGAGGCAGCAGTTCCTCGCTGTGGTTGTCACAGTGATCGTTAGGATTATCATACCACTGACATTCTCTAATCCCAATTTGTGACCACGCAGCAAGGGTCAGCGATGAATGTAGTATTGGTTGAATGTACGTTGTTTGGTATATTACAGCCAAAGTTGCTGTTTTGTTTTTGTTTTTTTAATTAGTGCTGTCACTGAATTGTTTATGTGTGAAATCTGCACAGGTGTTGAGAAAACCTGTGCATCCAAAATCATTATTCTTTGATAGAGCGGCTTGTGACTACATTTCTTCTTAACGAGTATACTATACTGTATTTTGATTACCTGTGCTGTACTGCGCGTACAATTGTTTTGCATGCCTAAATGAGTATTTAAGCTGTTGTGTTTGAATATGTTTGACCGAACCAGGTTGTGGGTAATGGCTGCTAATGCTTAATGCCTATCAAAATGCCTTATCCCACGTGGATACTCCAGGAAATTGATTTACTGAGATTATTTAAGACGTAATTTTTTTTAATCAATATCAATAAACACTTAAAAAATATTGTTATAGGAGTTGTGTGTATGTTTGTATGTATAGATATGTGGTAACCACCTGCAGACTGACAGGAGGGGGCACTGTAGACTGGACAGATTTTACAAGTTTTCTCTAATACTGAAAAGTTAATGATGCCGGACACGTTTGGTTACATAAAAACACCCGCACAGACATTGTTTCTACTCATTTTTTAAGAAGAACCGGTAAAGTCTTCGGTCTCTCCCCCTGCTTAATATTCGTTCATAAAATTACACACTTGGCTAAAAGTGTACATTCTACACAATTTAGGAAAAAAATTCCAGTGATATTATTGGCTACTCGCTTCCGCTCTCGACCAATAGGCTCGGTGTTGCTATGCCGTAGCGGTTCTCTGATTGGCTGACTCAGCTGTCATTTATCCATCAGTCAACGGCCAGAGAGGTTTTTGCCAAAGATCGTCACCTCGGGCTGTCAAGATTGTTCACGTCCTGCTGAGTGTGCGCCGAAGACCTGTCGTGTTAACGGTTAAGTTTTAGAAGCAGTAAAGTAACAGAGTAACGTTTATCAACCGCCGTTCAACTGTTTGAAACTACAGACGTTGTCATGGTTAGCAACGGTTTTAAATGAGGCACAGTTATAAAAGTAGCCACCTTCTGTGTTACTTGTAAAAACGCGAACATTGCACATCTAGCCATATATTATAAAAAATACATAATGACTATCGCGTTCATACAACATTTAATAATTTAATACAAACAGTAAATGCAACAAATGGTCACGCTAGACACCCGTCACTAAACTCACACTGAGCATGCGCGACAGGGTGTTTTGATAATATTAGCTTGTATGTTCACGTATTACAGCAGCATAACGTGAAGTAACATACGTTTTAAATGGCACTGCCATAACAACCAGACCCTGGCCAGAGACCGACGGCGCCCTGTCCCGACAAAAGGAGCCGTCCCAACTACACAACAGTTTTACTACGAACACGGAAGTGAGGGGGGGTGAGCGCTCTCGCTCCGGCTGGCTGTGTCACCACTCTCTCTTTCTGCCTCTTCTAAACTCTGCTGGGCATCGTTGCGCGTCAAAACATTGCGTCTCTGCAGGACTTGCCAGGGCCAGAGAGGAGAGGAGATTTGCCTGGGAGGGAATGCGAGAGGGACTTTAGGATTGGCACTGCCACGAGGAAAACGAGGAGGTGCGACATTTTCTAGGCTACGTGGAGATCCGTTTTTTCTTCCCTTCAAAGGTAAAGGATTTCCTCTGCGTTATTTTGCAGTGGTGCATTTGTTGTTACGCACTGTTATTGTATCGCTCCATGAAGCTTAGTCCTGCGACGGTGTAGTTCTCACGTACGGCCCGTGTCAATACTTTTATAACAGAGTCAACTTTTAATATCTGCAGCTACTCCTGCTGTGATATCGCAATAAAAACACAACTTTAAGGTTTTCTGCGTAACATCATTGTCATAAGTGTTTCTCATGCCCGGACTGATGTTGTCTTCGTGGCATGGGATGCTGAGGTATGCTCTGCAGTGTGGCTACAGTCTCTGCTGGTTATTATTAGGACACATGCTGTCTGTTGGTGGTGGCAGTCCCGCACGTATGCGCCATCATCCCCCGTGCGCGCGCATGGCCGTGATGGTGCACGTCAGTGGCGATCAATGCGGGTTATCGTGTAATACGCTCATGTGATCATCACCTCTCTGACGGCAATACCCTGATTCTCATCGATCTGTCAAAGTCACTGCAGATGTTGAAGCCTTTCAGAGCGGGTGGCGTGTGTGTGTGTGTGTGTTGTGTGTGTGTGTTGTGTGTGTGTGTGTGTTTTCAGCATTGCTGAGCTGAGGCATCCCCGCCATCTGTGCTCCGTGTGGTGACTGAAGTTCTGCCCCAGATGAAGTGCGCCACTGCCTGTGACCTGATTCCTACCAATAATCACACACACGTACAGTAAACCTTAAACCTTCGCGTTTGTTGTTTATTTATTGATGTGTTACCCCTGGTGATGAGGCACTTCTGTGACTCTACCATCCCAGAGGAGTCAACGACAGTCAGACCAGCAGGTGGAAATGCTGCATCTACCCCCCCCCNNAAAAAAACCCCCAAAACATCTACTGACTCAAGTCCATGTGAGTCAGGACAGTTGAAGAACACACTTTTATCAAGTCACAACCTTTGCTCTCTTTGCGATCTGTTTCCATTGCAGAGCGTGCATGCAGGTAGTTATTGATCGTGCGAGCAGTCGATACACGAGGATCGAAGATGTGGTGGTCCGAGGTGGTTGGAGAGTTGCAGACCTTGAAAGGTGATCCTTCATCGGCAGGACTTGTGTACATAAACAGAAGTTGTGTACAATGTGTTGCGCCTACAGTTTCACAGGTCTGAGACTCTTTGAAACGTCACCCACTTTGTTTTTTGACACTTGTTATGGCAGTGCTCACTTTTTATCGTCTCATAGCCACACACAGACACGAAATGGAGATCATATGTGAGTATGAACTGAGAATATATAAGTTATAACTGCATTAAAGGAGTGTCTCCTTCAGGCTTTTTACTGAACTCTGTAAGAAGACACACACAAGTATAAGTTTCTTCCTCTCTCTTCTTCCCTTCCTCTCCAAAGAGGTAAAAACAGAGACAGAGAGAAGAAAATTAGAAGTGAGCACAGATCAGACGTAGCAACAGTAACCAGACACACACACACACCTGGGATGCAGGAGCATCGCTTCATCAGTGAGATTTGATACGGATGGGGGGAGGAGGAGGAAGAGAGGAGTGTTTTTCCTTCTCTAGTCAGTGATGTCATGCTGCTGTATGCTGTTGGCCTTGGTGTAAGACTGAACGGCGAGCAGCATGAAAGTACATGAAGTACAGAAATCGTGTCGTGCAGCTTGTGGGCAGCTTAGCACACACACACACAGCTCATCTGACGCTGAGGGGACACACGCTGCTGCTTCTTCCCTCTTTCTTCCTCTGCTCATTTAACTAACTCCCTGTTCCTCTCCGGTTTGACTCTCATCTTTCCCCTCCTCCTTGTGTCTCTCCCTCCCCTGTCGTTCTCCGGCTCTCGATCACTGTCAGGAACAGCATCAGCAGCGGCAGCATCAGTGCATTACATAACAACAGTTTTTGTGTTGGGATACAAGGGTCCTTTTGGCTGCTGAGACTCGTGGCACGTAGCCTTTTGTGATGACACCCAGAAATGACCAGAATGGACAGCTCGGCGACCTGAAACGACCCGCGGCGGAACTGGTGAATGGACAGAGTGACAGCAGAGAAAATGAATATACAAACAGGCTGAGAGGCGCAGAGACGGACGAAGACGAGACACATGCAGGCAGCTTGAGAGATAAACTGATATAAGACGGACAAAACACCAAAGACACACACATTGAGGTTGTACAGACAGTCAGTTGTGGTGACATTTCCCCGCTGTTGGAGCCTGTCGGTGCCTGCGATCGGTTCTTCTAGTCATCTGATCATTTATGCAATTTGTTATTTTGTCAAAGAAGGTTTTTTTTTTTGTGCAAAGCAGCCCGGACTCACTCTTTGCGTCAGCGTTTTACAGCTCGTCAGCATCCTCTTTCCCACAAACAATGTTGCCTTGCACAATGATAAGTGTGGTCCAGTTCTTGGAAACTAATTGTTGTAAAATGTCAAACAGCATTACAGTCCAGCCTTGAACGGGTCCGGGACCATTTCACGTTTTAATGTGGCACCGAAAACTTCGACCTGCTTTCTGTGAAACATTTCTTGTACTTTAAGTTTGGTGGCTTCCTTGTTTTTGAAGTTACTTATTTCCTTTTTTCAACATTGTTAGTCAGTCATTACAAAATATATGAAATATGCCAAATAAGTTTTTTATTATGGTCACAATGTATATACAGTGTTATACATTGTCATGGCCAAATCTGTTGATTTTATGCTTGTTAAGTTAAAGCCATAGCGTCTCTGAGCTGCAACTAAACCAAATGTAATTCGTCTCAGCTTCCTCCCACTGTACAAAAATGAAGTAAAAATATCCCTCATATGGATCTTGTGCTGGTGAAGTCATCCGGAGCCAGATGTTTTGGCTTTACTTTTGGGGAGCTGTCATGTCATCCATCTTTATATATGTTGATGGACAAACCCCCCGATGAATGGTGTAACCCATGGGATCTCCACATATGCTTCAGATATGTTATATTGTTGTTATTGTTATATTATGCTACAGGCTCTTGCATGTAGTCTGCTGTCTATATGTGAGTCAGTTGGCTAGCTCTTCCACAATGTGATGCAAATGTATCAAAAAGTAATAAAAGTTCAGACGATATGGTGATTTGATTTTAGTCATATTTATGCAGCAAAGAAACCCAAAACATTTTCCTCCAGACGGACTTGTGTTTGTCCTTGGTTGTCTCGTTCAAATGTCTCGTTTTGTCCGACCAACAGTCCAAATGATAAAATTAGTTTAAAAAACAGCAAATCTTCATAACTGAAACAGAGGAACTAGCAGTTGTAAGTAAATGTCAAGCCACTGACGTGCACTGGTACTCTGTTGTTATGAAGTGATTCTTCAGAGATAATACACAAAGAGGACTCCACATGGATTATGTATGACCCATGAGAAGATATGTAGCACGTGCAAAACAATCCAATAAAATCCAGTCGGTCCGTTAAGGGCACATTAGTACCACGATGCACTGTACGTCAACACGCTGACAGTTTGGTGTAGCAGCATCACACTGAGCTATTTCCACAGCTGATCGTGTGAGTAAACATCTCGCCTGTCGGCTGACGGCTGTGACAGCTTCTCACCCATACAACACATTTACATTTTAGACAGTCTCGACATGAGTGACTACTAGCAAATGCAGCGGTACAGGCTTAGAGGAAGAAGCTTAAATTTAATGTAATTAAATTTGAAGCTTAAGTTTGAAGCTTACCTTCTCCTTAAGACTAATTACTGAGCCATAATCAAGCAGCTTTGTGCAAATTTAAGAGATTTCCTTGATTAGTTGCTTAATTGTTTGGTCTATAAAATGTCTTCATATAGCTTGTTTTGTCTGAAACTCAAATATATTCTACCATCTGCTACCATAGAAGCCTTAAAAAATAGCAAATATTCTAACTAACTAACTAGTAAAGCTTCGTCATTTAAGCTTTAAAATGGCTTAAACGATTCTAAATATTAAAAGAATCAGGTGGCAAACTTCTTTAGATAAATAAAGTTGCCAGTGTGTCAGCTCTGTACGGCACGACTCAAATCTCAGAGGACTGGATGATGCAAAAACTTCTTTCTTGTCCTCAGTCCTGAAATGACCGAGAGGATGAAACACGCTTTGGGTTAAACATCAGTCTGTGTGTGTATGTGTATGTGTGTGTGTGTGTGTCAGGGGTCAACTCTGACAACTGTACTGAGTGTGTCTTTGTGCCCCAAACCCACGCCGCTGGCACCGAGTCAGAGGAGAGCAAACAAGGGCATGTCTCACTGTCTTATTTATTTATATCCTCCGGTCCTTCCCATCAGCACTGGAGCCTTTATCAGCCTCCGTCCGACTCTAAAAACAATCATATTGCAGGGCAGTAAAGTAAAGAGGCCTCTCCCTCTCTCTCCTGTTTGTCCTGAACTCACAGAGGCCTCCTGCTCCCATTCAGTATTTTATTAGTTTTTCCAGATGGTTCAGTAAAGACAGACAGGAAAGAGAAGAGACAGAATGGGACAACATTATGTGTTGGTGATGAAACAGATCATAAAAAACTGAGTTAGTAAAGTCATTACAGAATCCACCTGTAAACTATAGAAATTATTGGTTTTGTTTAGTTATAAAGGTCATTTGAAACTGGCTGGTAGACAATAAAATATCCCATTGTGGGGAGGCTCCTCAATAACTTTATGAAAAGCAGCACTGGGGAATAAAACTAGATTAAATTTTGTGTTTAGCAGCAGACCTACAGTGCTGAAATCACAATTAAAGTTGCATTAAGCAATAAAAACAAAGATTATGACTGCACCACAAGGTGGAGAGCGGATGAGGCCCCCAACCATTTAGTTTCCCCTGTGCAGTTAGTCAAAACATACTCCTGTCCTCCTGGCCCCGAGCCTCCGGGATGGGCACCCAGGCCAGCTCACTAATCTTCTCAGTCACCAGGGCACACCAGCAAAAGTATTTTAAGGGCTCGGTCTATTTGGATATCATGGAGTGAGCGGAGCACGATCCTCACAGTTGTGCTAGGCTAAGCAGATTATCTCCGCAGCCTCACAGACTTAAACACAGAATGTGAGCTCGCTCTGCTGCCTGTGTACGTTGCATTGAGCTGGAGGAGGGTTCGGTTAATGGAGACATTAATTGATTGTTTTCATCAGCAGTTTTCATTATTATTATTATTATTATTATTATTATTAACATTGTTTAGTCCAAGCTGACTCAAAGGTATTCAGTTAACAAAAATATAAAACAGAGGAAAGCTGCAGGAACCAGGGAATTCAAACAAGCAACAAACAGTCTAGCAGCTCTTTGAGGTGCTGCTTTGAGCTAAATGCTAATGTAGGCATGCTAACATGTTGATTGGCAGGTATAATGTTTTTAGTGTTCAACACTTTAGTTGAGTGTCTTAGCATGATAACATAATAATGCACAATAATGTTAATTTGAATTTAAGACACAGCTGAGGCTGATGGGTTTCTCATTTAGTCATGAAATACAGATGGTGATGGTTGATAGGATTGTAGGATTGTTCCTCTGGGAACCGTGAATGTCCCGACAGAACTGAATAGAAATTCATCCAGTAGTTGTATATTTTAGTCCGGACCGAAGCAGAGCCACAGACTGACATTGTCATCCCTGCAGCTCTTCTGCTAGCATGGCTGCTAAGCAATGATCAAAATAGTCACCCATTAGTTTTTTGTCTGTCTTTGCTTTGGTGGCCCAGACTGTCCTCTCGACCAACCAGGACTCATTTTTGGCCTCTTGGTAAATGTGTTTCTGTGTGGTGGAAGCCTGCACCATGTTTGAATCTCAGCTGCTAAAATAATCTGTGTTTTCAGCTTGAATCTGAAATGTGAAATTTAGTGACTCAGCCTGGATCGAGCCTCATTAATAATGTATGAAGTCTCATCACATCATAGCTTTGTGAGGTTTTAAGTGTTTCACTGGAGAGCAGACTTTAATCCCATCAGCAGTGATACACCTGTGGCTCAGTCTGCAGCACCAGTTTAAGGAAGCAGCTGTTACACAACCATGTAACCATTAGCTACTCTCTTATCGCCCCGTGCTCAGGTGTTCGCCTCCCAACCCACCGCCCACCACGGCCCTCACCTGTGTGTTGCGGTGCTTCCCTTGTGAGCCGACCTGGGCTGGCAGTCCCTTCTTGCACCGCCCGCCAACTCCGCCCATGGTCAGAATGACGCGCTCCAAGACCTTCCAGGCATACCTGCCAAGCTGCCACCGAACTTACAGCTGCATCCACTGCCGAGCTCACCTGGCCAACCACGACGAGCTCATCTCCAAGGTAACCGGTGGCGACAGCGGCACTCTGCTCCGGACTCATCTTACCAACAGTGGTTGCCCCTGGAAACCATTAAGAAAGGACTTACATTCAGGCAGCTAATTGCTACAGACTGAATAAGAATATAAGAAGTTTTTGCCTGCTTAAATTGACAGCACAGTTCATTTTGCAGAATATAAATTACAAGCGTCAACAACAATTAAAAGTAAGTGTTGAGGATTGAAAAGGAGGGAGAAGGGATGAGGAATTATGAATATAAACAGCAGGCTAAACACCTGTATGTCTGTGTCAGCCGCTGTCACACTATTGCCTGTGGATGGATTATGTTATAAGCTGGTTTGTGAATTGGATTATGAGCGCACTATCACTTTTTCCACATGCGATTATGAAAACAGTGCTTACCTGGGCACAAAGGCCTTCTGCCGGTCGTAACATATCTGCGCTGTAAAAATCTATTTAATGTGTCGCTTCAATTGCAGCTTTCGTGTTGTAGCAAATAAACACATGCAAGGAATAACTGCATTACCAGTCATGAGTATAGAAATAGAATATAGAATAGATACTTATGCATTAGTCAGCCATGATGTTATCAGTAGCATATGGGCTGTTACTGAGGGGCCGTGCACCATTTAAAAGTAGATATTAAAATAGATTTTGTCTACAGGTTTTAAAATAAGAGCTCCTAATAAAGTAAAGGCCTGTCTTAAATCAACATGTGGGTGTTTTTATAAGGAAACCAAACCCGGGCTCTTATTGGACTGCAGCATTATGGCAATATAATAGCATGCTTATGTCATTATATAGAGTAATTACACTGGATGAAAGAGTCTTGTTTGACCCTTTTTTAATCTTTGTCTCATTTTGTCTCTGCAGTCGTTCCAGGGCAGCCAAGGCAGAGCCTACCTGTTCAATTCAGTGTGAGTATTTCTCTAAAAACAAAAAAAATTTCAACCCACTTGTTTGCAAATGGAAAATGCAGTTGACATTATGCGTTTGGAAAAAACTGTCCCGCATACTGGACCCAGACAGTAGACAAGTGATTTAACATGCTTAGATTTAAAACAGGCTAATAATACATATTGTTCCACACAGCCGTTGTGTTGTTTTCGAAGCCCCTGTGTAGACGGGGCCAGCCTGTGCCTCGGAGCGCTGTCATTATCAGCTGAATTGAGTGTGAAAATTAGGCTGTTTGAATCTATGCTCCGCGGCCTGGTGCCCTATCAGTATGCGCTGTGTGAGTGGGTGTGAAGCAGTGACTCACTCTGAGCACATCATACAGTACACTCAACCGAGCCACTTGCACAATACTCATTTTTAACTTTTGTCTCTCTCTGTCTCTGCTTGTGTCTCCTTCCTTCCCACAAACCCATTGTGCCTCTCTCAGGGTGAACGTCGGGTGTGGCCCCGCAGAGGAGAGAGTTCTGCTCACAGGCCTGCATGCTGTAGCAGATATCTACTGTGAGAACTGCAAGACGACCCTGGGCTGGAAATACGTAAGTGTCCTTGGCAGATTTGATGCACAGCACCGACTATCTGCATCCAAGGTTAGAGGATGATAAACTGGGAGGTTGTTATTATAGCACACCCTAATTTTATTTGCACCCTAATTATATTTGAACCTCGTCTCATCTTCTCTCAGGGTCAGTGCAGCGGTACGGCTGTTGGCTGAATTCAGTATAAGATAGATCGTTTCAAACACACGGATACAAGAAGGAGAAGTATTTGTTTGTGTGACTTGTGATCAGTTTTTATTGTTTTTTGTAAATTAAAAACATCTGGATCAGCAGAAGGGTTTTCATTTCATTTATCAAGCAAAGCTTCAGATTCAGATACAAACTTCTTTAGGTTTTAAAGCCACTACAAGGATCCTTTAAGTCATATAGAGGCATTAGTATTAAATTGAGACTGTTTCATAACCAACTCCTTGTGGTACATTTAACAATAGATGTTGACTTTAGTTCATACAGCTGATTTCATCACAGCTGTTATTGCTAGGTGTTAATAATGTTGATTGAACATACAAACTGGCAGTGTAGTTGACTTAGTTTCAGAGTTAAAATAACATTGACAGGCTCACTATGTAGCTTTGGCTAGCATTACAACTACATATACCAGTCCCTCCAGGAAGTTGCAATGTTGGGATCTCAACAAATTTACTCAAATTCACTCAATTCCTGCAATATTTTGTCCAATCACTCCAACCTTTCCTCACATTTGACCAATCATAGCAGTCCCCTATGTAACATTGAGCCATATGCCACCAATCTACAAGCGATTTCATTCTCGCTGCAACTATTTTTCAAATTTTCTTGCTTTTTTTCTTCTTCTCACTGCAACATGCATTGCAATTTTTTAGAAAAGCTGCAGTGAAATGAGGAATTTTAGGGAACAACAACAGTCCCTAAAAAAGCCTGCGCAATCATGGAGGGACTCTGTGATACAGGATGTCAAAATATACGTGCAGTATCTTTAGTATAGGTGGTATTTTAGGTGCAATGTCAGTGTGAACAAAACAGGATCCACCGCTGTTAGCTTCATATACCAACAGAGCTGAGCATGTGCAGCTGTCACTGGTGAACCCTGTTCAGCATGGAGGTGAGAGTATGCACTATAGGGCACGTGACTGCATCCTTAAAGGGTTAACACACACTCATAGACACACACAGTATCCTTGTTGTTTGACTTCTGAAAAGGCTCCATTGACCAGCACTCTTTGCCTAACCTCTAACCGTAACATTCACCGCCACGTGTCAAACCTTAAACCTGATTCTTTAACCTTCCACCCTAAAAATAAAAATTTTCCTTATGATGCCTGGTAAACACCTGGTAGACCAGCTCCAAAAGTAGATACTTTTCTGGGTAGTTGCTATTCCTGTCAGGACCCCACAAGGCAGAGAGGTCACATGCATGGACAAGCACACAGACACTAGATAGGACTTAATGGAGGGCTGCCATTAATATCATTTGCAGCAGTATTGATTTTCTGCAATCGTCAAAGTTCTATTGGGAGGCTTGACCTACTGCACTTCTAAACCGAGAAATCTGATAACGTGCCTCTGCAGCTTTGAACCAAAATAGCCAAAGACAAAACAGGTACAGACGCTCCACAGTGAAAGAACATTTCTATGAGCCTACTCAGTGACACTGTTTTTTAAGAAAGGCTTACAGTGACTGAGTGGCTTTTAAGCAAGAACACATGGTTGTTAATGGACTTGGACAGAAAGCAGAATTTGTCATTTTGTGTTATTTTCATGGCATTGATTAACCCCGCTGCTGGAAAATGAAAAAAAAAAGAGTTGTGTGTCGAAATGACTTTGTGAGGTTAGGTTCGCGGCTTGCTGCTGCCATCATTGTCAGTCACTGGGGCCAGAAATATCCAAATTTGGGAGAGGGAAGTGGAACAAACTGAGGTGGGATTAGCAGCCACCGCAGCTGAGCGTAATCATGTGACCACCATGCGAGACATCTGTTAGGCTAATTAAAACCATATACACTCCTGACACACTCCTGTTTAAACATCTTTTAGTTGAAACAACACATTGAGACACATGTTATATGTTGAAAATTAGCATTTGAGACACACATTTCTAACAGCGGTGTGAGGCTGTACTTTGAGCTAAATGCTGACGTTATCATGTTAAAATGCTATCATACTGATGTTAGCAGGTATACTGTTCACTATGTGCGTCTTAGTGTAGCATGGTAGCATGCTAACCCTTGCTCATTAGCATTAACCACAAAGTGCACACAGCTCAGGCTGATGGGATTATCATTAGTTTTTCAGGCATTTAGCCAAAAAACAAAATAGCACCCATTAGACAATCTTGCCACCTGGTATCAACTTTGGCATCATGAATTGATCTTTTAGTTTTCATTCACTTTTACTAGATTCTCTGACTGGGTTTACAGTATCTCAGTAAGCTACACTAATGACTGTTGAAACATGAAAAACTAAAAATGAATAATTATAATAATAATAAGCTTCTGCGTAGCTCAGACTTTCTTGTATCCCATTCAAATCTCTCAGAGGAATTTGGATTACATACCTAACAGCAGAACTACATGTTACAGCCTGCAAAATTAGAGCAGGCTCTACATCTGTGTTGGCTGTTGCGAGGCTTGAACCGGTGGCCTTTTGGTTGGTTTCTTAGTTCCTGCCAGTTTAAGGATCCAGCCCGGTCAGAGTTTGGGTTCTGCAGGCTCCTCTGCAGTGTTTAGTGACTGACGGTTATATAACCAGCTTCCAAAGAGCCAGTAGGAGAGACAGGCCAGGATTGAGTCAAGGATTTTCATGGACAGCTGAAAACACTCTTATGAGCAGTTGTTTTTTTTAATGCTGCTTGTGTCTTTTTCTAATTATCGTACTGTCTGTCAAAGATATAAACATGTCATTATTCTCTGTCCATCTGTCATTTGAATTAAATGCTGTCTCTCCTGTCCTCTGCCACACCCTCCAGGAACATGCCTTTGAGAGCAGTCAGAAGTATAAAGAGGGCAAGTTCATCATCGAGCTGGCCCACATGATCAAGGACAACGGCTGGGACTGAGGGACGAGCAGCCGGGACACGACCGCAGCAGAGGGAAGGAGGGGGCGATGGGGGTGGGGGGACTGGGTGACTGGGTGACTGGATGGATGGACAAATGGATGGGAGGGAGGGAGGGAGGGGAGGGGGAGTCGTGTGTGGTGGGTGAGTGTGTGACTTTGGTTTGGCTGATTTACCATTAACCTCTGTAACTCTCTGCCCATCCCTCCCTACCACGCCTCTTGATGTACACACACACGCGCCCACACACACACACACATCGAGGTCCCAGACATCCCAGCTTGACAGAGAGACAGACTAGGCAGGCTTGTAGGCAGCTAGCAGGACTAGGTGACTGGCCGGCAAGACAAGACGTCTCATTTTCATGTGTTTTATTTCTTTAACATGATTTGATAGCTCTCAAACAGGTGGCAGCGCTCCCTGCGTACCTGATAGGAGACATCTTCACGTTGTCTAACAGTCATTCAGTGGAAATTTAGCCAGAAGGAGGCCAGTTGGGTCGGCCTGGTGGGGGGTTCATCAGCCTCGGAAGAGGCCTCGGAAGAGCTGACGGGCATTCACTCTGAATGAGATGACCTAAGATGATTATAGCAAATCCAGCTGATCGGGGCCATGCCAGCTGGGCCAGTGATGAGGCCTCGGCGCTGAGGCTTGGCACGGGGGCCCGAGCACATGGGTGTTGGGTTGTGGCAGAGGGGGTGGGTGCAGGGATTGCCGCCCACCAGGCTGCTCACTCAACATGGTGGGGAGAGGAAGATCCTGATCCAGTTATGCAGTGGCTTTGATGGCTTCTGGCGGGGAGCCACCCCTCGTCTTGCCAGCAATGCAGCTCAGAGCGGGCAGGGTGGGACTAGAGTGAAAGAGATACGGACAGACAGCCACCAGCCTGTCCTAAAACCTCACAGGAATTTGCCCTCGCATCAGCAAAGCAGCTCCCCCTGGGTTTAATTCATCCTTCGATACAAACGAGTCGTGTAAAGTGATCTGCTGATCCGTCCTGTGTATGTCTGGTGTCGGCGGACTCATCGCTGCGTCCAACCGTTACTTGGTCAGATAGAATTACACAACATAAGCGTGTCTCAGGTGAACAACTTTGGCTGGGATTCCCAAAGGTTTGCGAGCACTGTGAGCATCTTTCTGCTGTTGTAGGTCGACGAGCAAAGGTGACGAGGTTCTGCAGGCTTGGTGGGGTGAGGTGGGGTAGCCAGCGATCGGTCAGACACAAACACAACCCTCGCTATCATGCGAAGAACAGTTTGATGTAAAGAAACTGACAAATGGCCAATGCATGACTGGTTTCATGGGCCAAGGGAAAATGCAAATAGTAAAAAAAACAACAACAGAAAAAGTAAGTTATTACTTTAACTGAAGTTACGAGGTATATACATGACCACAGAGGTGTGTACTGTAGATACATATGTATGAAAGGTAATACCTATCACTCTTAGGCTCTCTTTCAGTCTGGGATGACTGCTGTTCAACTGCTGTTACACGGGTCTTTGCTAACTGGCCCTCACAAAACATAAAACCTACTGGGCAACATAATGAAGCAATGTATTAGATAGATCTCCTTACTTATTCTTTTGTTCCTGAATGCAACAAAGTATTATCTGAGGTTTTGTCCCAGTTTTAGATCATTTTTCTTTCTCATATTCTCCCTGCCTCTGTTAGCTTCTTAAATATTCCTCGTGCATCATGGGCCTTCGAGTTATGACACCTGGGTAATATTTGAGGTAGCATTAATGGGAAGCATTGCTCAGGTGCCGATGCTAACTTTTCTTTGCCTAAGCCAGGATCCTACTTAACGTGCTGGATGTGTTATTCTCAGATGGAAATGTATTATTTTCAAATGAGAGAATCCATTGCGGCTGCCTACATCCCGTGGAAATGCAACGTTAACACATGCATGAAGTAAAACAAGTGTTCAGGCCAGTTTTGTGCTCGGTCCTCATCACGTTTTTGTGAAAAGAACATTTTGTGTGTATTAGAGTTGCAATGAAACCTTGTGCTATAATACAACATCTTATCAGTTTCCTCTCAGCACAGAAGCATTACAGATTAAATGTGATCCTGGTTTAGAAAAGTAAAAGTATTTGCCCTGTTTGTCAAACGTACAGTAGTTTCCTGTTGTTGCAAACATTGCTCAAGAAGTTGCCCCTATATACATATACATATATATATATGTATATGTATACATATATACATATATGTACATATATATATGTATATATATAATAAGTCCTCTCCAGTTACAACCTAACCTAAACAGATAACGCTCTTCAGTAACACTTCAGCAGCTGATCGCTCAGTCGGAGGCTGTAACATTAAACCCAGCACAACCAAAGAACCCACCCATCGACAATAAATTGACCAAACAAAAGATCTCATTTTGCTTGGACAAACAAGGGGGTGTGTATAGCTGAAAGCCAAGGTTGTGGATAGCCTTTCTCTGTGATTATATATAATGCATTATGATTTTGTAAACAAAAGATCTTAATATATGAATATATTCTATTTACTGTATTCACCATGAGGATTACCATTCATGTCAACCTCTGTGTTACAGACTGTAAATAGTGTTAATGTATTGTGTTTTATCTATGATCCATACGATGATGAATGAATATGATTTAGGTCATGTCATGCTTTCTCTCTGGTACCCCACATTGGCTGTACGATACTACTTTTTTACTGAAAATGTTCAATTTTAATGTCTTTTGTAAAGGAGGATGCTGATGTTGACTATATATCATTGGATCTTCATCTAATAAAATGCACCTTGATATCTGTATGGAATATAATGTTTGTTTCTTTTCATGCAACCTTAAATGTTGATATTGGGGGGGTCATGCACTTTAAAGGGGCGCTCCACTCCAACTTGAGTTTACATGAAGCAGATTTTTTTCTTTTAGAGAATGATTAAAATTGGTGCAGCCGAGAATGAGATCTGCTGAATTGCGTCCCTGGTATGAGTCAAGCTCTAAAAACTCAAAAAAATATTTGAGATAATCCCGGTTACATCATTTGGGTTGTTTTAAAGTGAGACTATACACAAGTGGCAGTAATGGGAGAGCATCACTTGTATATAGAGTAATAACTACAGAAACTAAAGTTTTAGCCAAAATGCGTAACAGATATGACATTTTGTAATTGATTATTAATAATTGTTAGAGACCTTACGTAAAACTCTCTCGACCATTTGAACTAATGAGGTAGTTTAATAAGTAATCTTTAATTGAATATATAAGTTAAAGGTAGTTTAACCACATTAAATTACCACCAGAGTGAGAGGCAGCAGAAACAGCAGCTAGTTAGCTTTTAGCAGAACTAGTTTATCTGGTGTTCCTTTCTTTCTTCATTATTTATCTACTGTTTTATTTGTGTGGTTTTGCAAACATATTGAAACATCACAATAGATTTTCCAGTTCCAAGAAACAGGAACAAAGTTGACAAATTAGCTTTAGGCTATCTCACCTACTAGCCCGAACTAGCAGGAGTATAGTCACTGCTGTTTGTTTTTTACCTCTGTTTTATGGTTCTTTGGATTTTATCACACATCAATGGCATAATATTTGTTTATAGTGATGTCAAAAAGTCATAGTATGTACTGTAGGAGTGTCTAAAGGTAATATTAGTAAATCCATCATAAGCTACTGGTATACCAGAACAAGTAAGGCTGTAGCATCGTGATTTAAACTGAACTGAAGCGTGTGAATTCAACTTTTCATCTGTGAGAGGAAGAATGAGTTATTTTATTTCTTCTCAAGTGTTATATTGTCTTGATTAATTGTGTGAAATTGGAAAAAGCCCCTTTAAGACATCTAATTGGACCATGTGCGCTTATTGCAGCTTTATCTTCAAAATAGATGACTCATGAACCTTTGGTAGTGTTTTGTTTTTGCACACGGTGCCAGTACAGCCTCTGAACACTAATAACATTCTTGCCTAATTAAAAATCACCAATAATAACAGTAACGGTGAGAGGAATTAGTCATTCACACAAACTAAGAGAGGTGGATGTTTATGTGGATTGACCAGGCATCATCGGACAGCGTGGGCGCAAAGCCTGCTGTGACTTGATATTGGGGGGGACAAAAATACAACAACCACAGCACCTTAATACAGAAAATGACATGAGATGTTCAGGCAGGATATTGTGTTTGGTGTGTGTGTGTGTGTGTGTGTGTGGTGTGTGTTGGGTGTGTGTGTGTGGCTGGAGGAGGCAGGGGTTATGAGGTGGGTGGTGATAAGGAGTCACACCTGTTGAGGTCATACAGTGTAATGCAAGTGGCTTTTGCTATCGATACTTGCCTCCCTCCCCATTCTCCCTTCTCCCAATTCCCTCTCTCATATCTTGCTTTTCTTTTCTCCCTTTTATCTTCCACTATCACCCTTTCTCCCTCCCTCTTCTCCCTCTCCTTCGCCTGTACTCTGTCCTCCTCTGTCTCTCCTTGTAGTGTTGTTTCCAATGATCCTCCTGGGCTGATTTGTCTCTCTCTCTCTCTCTGTC